CCTTACTATGCTATGGCTTTTCATGCCTTACTTTACTTTGACTTTTGTATCAATTTTTATTACTTACTATACTATGACATTTTTATGAATTTTTTATGCCTTACTATACTGTGTCGTTTTTATGAATTTTTTATGCCTTACTATACTGTGTCGTTTTTATGATTTGCTATGCTACGGCATTTTTATGCCTTACTATACTGTGTCGTTTTTAAGATTTGCTATGCTATCGCATTTTTTTTGCCTTACTATACTATGATGGTTTATACCTTAAAGTGAATAGAGTTTTGATGAGTAGTCGTAGTGTAGTGGTTAAAACAGTGGATTCCCACTCAGAAGGTTCTGGGTTCAAATGGTGGACAGTTCAAAGAATTGTACATTGACTAAATAAGAAATTCTAATTAAAATTTTTATGCCTTGCTATACTAAGACGTTTTTATGACTTTTTTATGCCTTACTTAACTATGACTTTTTTATGCCTTACTGTACTATGACATTTTTATGACTTTTTTATGCCTTACTGTACTATGCCTTATTATGCCTTACTATACTATGACTTTTTTATGCCTTACTATACTGTGATGGTTGTATGAATTATTATGCTTAAAGTGAATAGAGTTTTGTTGAGAAGTGGTAGTGTAGTGGATTCCCACTCAGAAGGTTCTGGGTTCAAATCTTGGACAATTCAAAGAATTGTACATTGGCTAAATGGGAAATTGTAATTTAAATTTTTATGCTTTGCTATACTAAGACGTTTTTATGATTTTTTTATGCCTTACTATATAGTATGACGTTTTTTTCCTTTTAATGCCTTATTATACTATGACTTTTGTATGAATTTTTATGTCTTACTATACTGTGTCGTTTTTATGATTTGCTATGCAACAGCATTTTTATGCCTTACTATACTATGATGGTTTTTACCTTGAAGTGAACAAGATTTTGATGCGGAGTGGTAGTGTAGTGGTTAGAACAGTGGCTTCCCAATCAGAGGTTTCTAGGTTCAAATCCTGAACAGTTCAAAGAATTGTACATTGGCCGAATGGGAAATTCTCTCAAAAATATGACTTCTTTATGCCTTGCTATACTATGACGTTTTTTTTTTAATTTTTAGACCTTACTATACGATGAATTATTTATGAAATTTTATGGTTTACTATAGTATGACTTTTTACTCCTAACTATTCTATGAGCTTTTTATGCCTTACTCTACTATGACATTTAAATGAATTTTTATGCCTCACTATACTATGACGTTTTTACGACTTTTTTATGTCTTACTTTAATATGACTTTTGTGTGAATTTTTATGTATTACTATACCAAATTTTTGTGCTTTTCTGTGCCTTACTATGACTATGACATTTTTATGCCTTACTATACTATGACGTTGTAGTGACTTTTTATCCTCACTATATTATGACATTTTTATGGCATTTTTATGCCTTACTATAGTATGTCGTTTTTATGCCTTTTTATGCCTTATTGTACTATGACATTATAATGAGTTTTTATGCCTCACTATACTATGGCGTTTTTTTTTTTGCTTTTTTGTGCCTTACTATACTATGACATTTTTCTGACTTTTTATGGCTTACTATACTATAAAGTTTTCATGACTCTTCATGCATTACTATATTATACATTTTTTATGCCTTTTTTCCTCACTATACTTTGACATTTTTATGAGTTTTTATGCATTTCTATACTATCACGTTTTTATGAGTTTTTATGCCTTACTATACAATGACTTATTTATGAAATTTTATGCCTTACTATACTATTACGTTTTCGTGCTATTTTATGGCTTACTGTAGTGAGACCTTTTGTGCCTTGCTATACTATAACTTTTTAATAAATTTTCATGCCTTAGTATACTATGACATTTTTATACCTTTTATACTATGTTTTCATGACTTTTTATGCCTTACTATAGTATGACTTTTTACTCCTTACTATTTATGACTTTTTTATGAATTTTTATGCCTTACTGTACTATGACATTTTTATGACTTTTATGGCTCACTACACTATTACGTTTTTATGAATTTTTATGCCTTACAATACAATGACTTATTTATTACTTTTTATGCCCTATGATGTTTTTAGGACTTTTGGACTCATAAAAAAGTCATAAATACAACATAGTATACTAAGGCATAAGAATTCACAAAAATGTCACTGTATAGTAAGACATAAAAAGGCATAAAAATGTGATAGTATTATGAGGCATACAAAAGTCATAGTATAATAAGGCACGAAAAGGTCAATTTTAATTTCCAATTAACCTAATGTACAATTCTTTGGACTTTCCAGGATTCAACCCCAGAACCTTCTGTGTGGGAATCCACTGTTGTAACCACTACACCAATGTTCCACATCAAAAATAAATCACTATAAGGCAAAAAACTTATAAGTAAAAGTCAAAGTATAGTAAGGCATAAAAAGTCATAGTATACTAAGGTATAAAAAGTCATAAAAATGTCATAGTATTGTAAGGTCTAAAAATTCATAAAAACATCATAGTATAGTAAGGCAGAAAAGGTCATAAAAACATGATAGTATAGTTCTAAAAATTCAGAAAAAAGGCCATATTACCAAGGCATAAAAAAGTCATTGTATTGTAAAGCATATAAAGTCATAAAAATGTCATATCATAGTAGGCATAAAAAAGTTGTAGTATATTCAGTTATAAAAACGCCATAGTACAGCAAGACATGAAAAGTTATAGTATAGTGAGGAAAAAAGAAAGGTGAGGCATGCAAGGCATATGGGCATTCCTTAAGTAAATTCAGATCTTATTTGTTAACCGTTTAAATAAACTATTTGGTTTACGGCATTAAAAAGCCAATCTCTTTGTTTTGGAGGGGTGTTGGGGTTTTTGCGTCCCCACCAATGTTGAGACCAAACCTACGTCCTTCATTTAGAGGACATTCACAGCAATAGGGACTAAAAATAAGAGGGAGAAGCAGAACTGTGGAAGGCATCATATACTTCCCAAAATTCAAGGATATAGTCTGTGACGGTTTGTGTCTGGTGTTTACAGAGTTTCCCATTGCATTTGCACCAGTGTTTGTGTTTTTTCTTGCTCCTCACTGCCATCCATGTCATCACTCTACAGTTCCTTTGTGCCCTATTCATAGTGTAGACTCAGCAACAGGAAAAAAAAAGGTGTGACTCCACAGCTACTTTTTGTCAGCACGTTTGACATCTGTGTGACGGAAAAAATATAAATTGCAGGTAACAAAGTAACAAGAGCATGTGGATAATGCCAGTGTGATTGTCCCTGCCACTAACAGGGTACGGGGGTCTTTGTGTACCCTGCTATGGAATTGACTGTCCCCCTCCACACTCTAACGAGGCCTCGGAGAGAGCTGTGACAAGGTTGTTAAAGGCACTGCGCCTCGGTGGAGCCCCATCAGTTATACTGGCATCAGACCAGAATGGGAGTGTGTGTCCCCAGCCGGCCGGAGTCGGTGTCAGGCAGGCTGTCAGTAGGACTGAATGCACCAGTCACTCAGGACTGTTATCAGGTCCTGCTACAAAGATAAAAGGAGATTACTGCAGTTTGTGCCCACCGGTTTATTCATGTGATGTCAGATTATGTGGTTATGACCAGCTGCCGCTTTGATGGATCACACCCGGCTGTCCAGGTGGGCAGTGTTCATAAAGCAGATAACAGGAAGCTTCATAATCTTTTTTTGGCAAATGTAGCTGTGTGGAAACAGTTAGGATAGTATGGCGCTGTCGTCCTCCACTTCCCTCTTACATCTAAGTAAGGTTTCTACACAGAAACACTCCCAAAATAGTCCAAGATAATTACATTAGACCCCATGGTTTGGTAAATGTAGATCAGATTAGAGGCTAAAAGAGAAAATTGTGCACAATATGTTTAAAAATGAGCTTGTCAGTGCACAAGCTTGGTTCCTTTCTTGTTTGCCCGCCTCCCTGACTGTTCTTTAATTACCTCTGAAATGGTTGCTTCAGTTCCTGCCTTACATATTGATTTCTATTTTGTGCCTTCCTTTTCCCCTCTTTGATTGATCCCTGCAGGCAGCAAGACTAACAAATGAAAGCTGCTCCTTATGAGAGCTATTTATTTAGACAAACATCCACTCCGTCTCTGGGACAGCTGAGAGAAGTAAGGCCACATCCTCTTAAAGGTCAGCCATGCAGTCACATTGCCATCCTCGCTGCAGGCACGATGTGCCAAAGTACTCTGAGTGGCATTCGAATGTATCATTCATTAGCCCGCTCAGCCCCTGTGGCCCTGAGTTTTTTTAGAAGAATTTTTTTTTATTTATTTTTATTTCAGACTGCAATCAAAATCAATCCAGAAAAAAAATTGATTTATATCTATGAATACACAAACTCATACAAAGATTTCTGCAGTCTGGAAAAGGTGTAGACTGAAGCTGCAGCTTATAATGCCCAGCTTTTAACAATACAAAAAAAACTAAACCAAATGAAGAGTCGGAGTATTGAGGCACAATATTGGGAGCCTGTTGAACACTCAGTGTCTTCTAAGATGCTGGGTGCATTGAGGAGAAATGGTTAAGGTCTTTCATGCTGTAGAGGCAATTTAGCACATAAATGACACTGTCTTCTTGCTGTTTCCCCTGTCACCTCGCAATGATGGAACAATCCGTTAATCCTGTGTTATCTGTCAGGCCGTTCATGGGTGTTGACAGAGGCACAAAATCCTCTCTGGCTGGCTGAGCACATCATGTCCTGGGTGGTTGTGGAACAAGGGCAGATACAGTGGCCTGGGTGGTGTGGGGGGACAGGACCACTGCGAAGATGTCCAAAGTACACCTGACTATCTACACACGTCAGCCTTACTCCATTATTATTTAGGTGTCAGTCTGTGGATCACCACACTCACCTTTTTGTCCCATTTTAAGAAAGTGTACTTTGTCTTACTAAATGTATTTCAACACTAAATAGTATCATCCATTCCTTTTCTGACATTTAATTATTCTTTATCAACCCGCCGTCTTCCAGAGTGACAGCTCCAGTGACAGTGAGAGTGAGGACAACTTCATCGTGCTGCCCCCTCGGGACTACCTGGGCCTAGCCATCTTCTCCATGCTCTGCTGCTTCTGGCCGTTGGGCATTGTTGCCTTTTACTACTCTCACAAGGTAAAGGCCCAGAGACCTCAAGCCTGTCATTAACTCTGATTACACTGCATTCTATTTAAGGTCAGTGAGCACAAGCACTCAGACAAGTGCTACCGCAGCCCATTTTCCACCGTGTGACCCTCCTTGCTGTTGTTTCAGATGAGAGACTGTGTAAATTTAGCAGGTTCGGCCCACTTCTCAGTCTTCTGTATTCACTTTAGGACACCATTGGTTCACAGTATGATTTATATGAGCAGTGCCCTGCAATTACATTATTTTAAGTTGTATCAATACCTGAGACTTCATTTGTAATTATTGCAGCATCTTAGGTTTGTCTGAAAAGATTAAGCTCACGTCCTGCAACATCAAATAAAGTACACCATATCTTAGCGCTTTTGCAGCATCTTCCAAAGACAATTATACTGGAACAGAAAATAATGTGTCAGAAGAATAAATAAAGGCCAGGCTCATTTTTTTGATAGGAAACCAAAACACCCAAACAACGCATTTGTCACTGTCAGAGGGATAATGACCTAATTGCCATGGTAACTAATGGCTTCCCAAGAGCATTTCTTGTTTTCTCTCTTTTAACTGTGGCTTAACACCTACTCATACACTCAATGCTGATGAGTAACACACCGGCTCATTTCACTCTCTGCTTTGTTTTGTCAGACTGGCAAGGCCATCGCTAAGGGAGACTTCTCCAGAGCAGGAATGAGCTCCAGAAGAGCTCTATTCCTGGCTGCTCTTTCCATTACCATTGGAACAGGGATGTATGTGGGGGTGGTCGTGGCCCTCATAGCCTACCTGTCCAAGCCTGGACACGTATAACACTGGGACCGGCTTGCTCGGGGGAAGGTAGCAAGAAAGAGGAAGCAAGACAGGAGGAAAAGACGATGTTGGACAGATTCCTTCACCTCTCGTGAAGGTGTGTGCCTGTCCTGCTGCTGGCTGTCTGTGAAAGGAAAAAGCCAAATGAAGAGAAAAGACTAAACAAGAGAGAGAGAGAAAAAGAGGAAAAAAAACAAGATGTGTGGATGGAGTATCACTTGGACTGCATATTGATCTGGACTGAATCTTTATTTCTGGGATGCAACACTCCCACCAAGCTATTCCACCACCACCAGTGCTGAAAGATGACTTCCACAAAGGCTGTACTGTACTTATATGTTAGAAGAAAACTGAGCTCATAGCAGTAATGAACTACCTACCTTTTAACACATTAGTCGTTTACAGCGTTTTTATTTTACCTTTACAGTAGATGTATTCTATGTCAATACTATTACAGATTGGGTACTGTCCACTTTGTAAATGAGTTCTTTGGAAAATAAGTTTGTTTATTCAAGGAATATACTGGAAATTGATCAAGTCAGTAAATGGAGGAAAGCAGTTCCTTAGTCAAAATAGAACAAAGCTGATTGTCAGAGTGTACACAAAGCTGCTGAGCAGTGGTCAAGAGGGTTAGTTGTGTTTATTGTGTACTGTAAATGTAGTCAATAAATACATTTGGCATGAATAATGAAAAGTTCACTGCCATGTCTCCCGTCCTGTTATTCGCTGTGTCTTTGCAAAGAGTGTCTTAGGGCAGTGAGTCCCAACCAGAGGTATTTTTATTAACCCCAGGGTGGTAGTTCTGCAGTCGCCAAGAGGTATGTGGAAAGCTCAACCAATTAACAAAGGTAAATTCAACAAAACTCCAGACATTTAAAAAGACTTTAGGACCCTAGCTGTGTAACGAGGAACATAAAAAAGCAAATAAGTCTACCATTAGAAATTGTACGATGGTTATCTTTACACGCTTCCCATCAACCGGAGTCAGTTGTAACACACTGACTCCAATCCAGCAGGCACCGGACTCAGATGTAACATCAGAAAGACGTTTGACTCTAATGACCCTAATGTTGAACAGGTGTAAAATTTTGGTTGGAAATGAAAAGCAGGTTGACGTCAAAATCCGATGTTGGCCAATTGACAGTGCGATATTTAGCAGATGTTGGGTTGAAATAGTTTGCTAAAAATAATGGATAAACAGTTTGAATTAATGGAAAGAGCTGAAACATCCAAGCTACTGTCACTTACTGCTAGTAGCACAAATTTTAGCACAGTAACCTACGCATTGACAATTTAGTGGTGTTAAATAATATTGTAATATCCTTATGATAATTAACAGTTAACTGTGTTAAATAACATCCAGATTACACAGTAAGAACATCAAGAGAAAATTAAGCTCAGCTGATATGGCTGTCGGGGCAACATTACTTTAGACAACAAAGGGAATCACTGAACAAGACATGGATTGTGTGGTTAGTGAAGCCTGTCAGAGCTTATTGTCAACCACAGCGTTTTATATTGACTATTTGCAATTGCAGGCACAAGCCTCTGCTGTAACTGGCATGGCTACTCACTGTCTTTTGGCATCACTATCATCACTGTCTAGCCTTGAGGTGACTTTAGCTGCCAAAGTGCTGTGAGCATCAGGCACAATGCCTGCTCTCTGAAGTCAGGATGTCAGAACAAAATGAGAGCAGCACTTTATACCCCTCCAGGACTTGGAAGGACCATCATGCGCGTCCTGTTCTCTTGCCCCACCTGCCATCCAATCACAACATTAGCCTCCAGAGCCAGAGTATCCTAATCCACTCAGAGCCCTTCAGGTTCAACATTGCAGATAGTATTGATCACATACTGAGCTCAATAAGCAGAAGAGAAAAGATTCACTATATCTATACACCTTTTCATGCACTGCATAAGACTAAATGGAGCAGATGGCAAGGTAAGCAAGTCTTACAGAAAAGCTTGCACAGCCTGACCTCTCCTAAATGTATCTGTTTTCTCTTTTGCAGCATCTCTCCAAGCAAGTCTCTAATGCATGAAATGTGGCTCGATGGGGGAGACGGGGGCGAAAGTGCCGCTCTCATCAATGGGAGCTGTATGGGGTGCTGAAGTGGGCTCACTCTGCGAGCGAGTGCAGAGCTGCATGTGTTTTCTCTCCCTCAATAGCTAGGAAGCTTCACCCACGCCTGCTCACACACTCACTCACAGCATCCATAGCTAGCTCAGACCACCAGAAGCAAACTGATTTTATTAGTCATCCACCCCCATGTGAATAAAAAACTTTCCAAGAGGCTGCAGCAGGTTGAATCTGAACTTCTGTAAATATTCCTTTACATGTGTGAATGCAGTTTTATTGTGTTTATCACTGCATACAACTTAGGTTTTGGTTTGAGAGGATCATTACACTGTGTTTCTAAATATAATCCTCTTATCTAAAATTAACAAAAAGTCTGTTTTTGTCAAGTTTGACAAAGTCATAGCCCAAATGTCACATCTAGCAAATCACAAAAAAAGGAAAAAGAAAATTAATGGTTCTTGTAAAGAGAGAAACACATTTCTAGAGGAAAAACATTGATGAATGGGCTGAAACAAAATGGATAAGAAACTGAAAGGGAGTGGAAAAACAAAAAGACATTAGAGCTGAGTGCTACATTAATAAGGAGCATGATGCTCTTGACTGTTCTTGCGACTGAAAGGCATTTTCAGATCCTTATCGTTGCTTTGATGAAATACCTGTCACCACTCTGCGCATGGACAACAGACGCATAAACAATATTTTCAGTTTGTGCCATGCCTCTGCAAAAGAGGATTTATGTGAAGTTGTTGCAACAATTACAATAAAAAAAATTGTGGATGTAGACATTTTCATTTTTACTGAAAAAAGAATTGACAACTTTCAAGGAATCTCTCTCTTGTGAACAGAATGAATCAGTGTTCTACTCAAAAGTAAGATTCAGCAGAAACATTTTCAACTCACCACCTAAAACCTCAACAGGAAGTCATGAATGAAAAGTGTGGAAATTGTGTCCTGAAATTTCAAGCAGTCGGGGAAACAGTGGTTATCTTGTAAAAATGGAAACTCTCTTGGCTCTGTAGTGTGTGACAGACCTTCAATCAAAACCACATACAGTAGTTCATTTGGTAGATTACAGGCACTTGCATGCGGTTTGAAGTACATCCACAGATCATTTTCTATGCAAGCAGATAAATTTAATGTATATTTGATTATTCAGGAGACACTTTCTAGGTCAACAGCAGCACCAATGATGTCTTTTGCAATGGATGGAACTAAATTCATGTCTGACATCCTGAATGGCAATGAGCATATAATAGCATTTACTCAGCATTTCAGCACACTAGGAGTTTCAAACTCAAACTTCAAACTTACACTGAGGCCAGATATCTTAAGCTTTTTTTCATTATTACAGCGTGTTGACTTTATTTCACATCCCCATTCCCTGCACTTGATAGGTAGCTTCAACAAATGGCTGGATGAATATATTTCATAATTGTTAATAGAAGGACAAATGCAATGTAGCAGCTGAGCATGAGAGCATGAAAATGAAAAAACACTGAAAACAAACCTCTTACATGATTTAGGTCTGCACCTCAAAAATCTATATGCCTTTTATAAAATTCAATATAATGCTTTATCAGAGCAATATAAAACAGTTTTAAATGTTTTAATTCCCATTCTATTTGAGATACATTTTGGCAGTTAACTCTAAATGCAGCTGTTAAATATGTGAACAAAAGGAAAGGAGGAATAGTCTACTGTGTGAGAGAGACTTGCTGCTCTTACTTAAAACATCGGTTCACATGTTTCCAAAGGCTGTGTTAAAACAACAGTCAGGTCCTCATATGAACACTGAAATAGGTTTAGCTTGCTCTAATCACTCCCCTTGTTCATTAAAGGAGAACTCTACCAGGTTTAAACATCAAAGTCTGTTTACAGGTGTTGGGGAGAACTACTGCATATGTGAGGAAAGTTGTATAAAGTATAAAGCTCTTTTGGTTCTAGAGGGAGCAGTGTGAAAGCTGATAAATTGCCTCAAGTGATGCTGAGTCAGTGTCAGTTGGGTCTGAAGACTATAAATCTGAAAATGAAAAAAAAAAAAATCTGGGGGTGTGGACTAAGAAAGAAGTGAGTTTACCAAACCTCCATAGCAGGCTAACAGCACGGAAATATTGTGCTTTTATTCCCTATTTCTTGTACTACATTCTTTTTGGCTAATGATTCATTACCAAAAACAGTGTCTGGTTGGGACTTCTTGTCAAGTTTCAGTTTTCACACAAGTTTCACCAAGAACCGATTTTCCCCTAAAAGGTCTCAGATGGTTTCATTTACTGTTTGAGGCCCAAAGAAAAACCCTCCAATATATCACCAAAAAGTTCTTCTTTCACACATACAATTAATCATCTCAGATTAATCTTGTGACTCTTACCTATTTGTACTTCCAGTATTGACAATCTAATAATGTAATACTCACAGGGTTCATATGTTTACGCAGAACAACTTCTTTTACTTATGAAGTTTTTAACTTCAATACTTTCTTTTTAAGTAGGATTTTGAATACAGGACTTGTAATGGAGTATTTTGACATGGCTGTATAGCCCCTTTACATGAGTAAATGATCTGAGTACTTCTTCCGTCACTGCTTAGCTTTAGCAGGACAAATCTGTATTCCCAACAGGTTTTCTATAGCACTTTTCATTGTGCATCAGGAAATGAGGACATCCCCACAGCAACTCTTTGCACAACAGATGTCAGCATCCATTTCTGTAAACCCATTTCTCTTTTGCCCTCTCTCTCTCTCTCTCTCTCTCTCTCTCTCTCTCTCTCTCTCTCTCTCTCTCTCTCTCTCTGTGTCTCTCTCTTTCCCTCCCCACTTTCACATCAGAGTTAAGCTCATCTTTGAAGCATTTCACACATACATGCTTATCTGCCCTCACACCTTTGTCGCACAGCAACATGCCTCTCTCTGTGGTGCCGGCATTTGCCAGGACACACTCTGGACTGATAAGAACCTCACAGCCTCATCTTCTCTGGCTTCACTTATCACTCTTGAGCAACAAGGGAGCACTGTCTATCTGTTCATGTTTCTCTTCTCTTGATAAGTACAGATTGGACACTTTGCTCTTCTTTGCTGTGAGCATTCCTCAAAAGTGCCGCCTTGTGCCAGCAGAAGCATCTAACGCAGCTATAATGCTTTGGTTTTTAATTGCAACCTGAGTACCTGACACTTCACAGGGACGGGAGATGTCATTTTCTGGGACAAGACATATGAAGCAGGAAGTAATAAAAAGGCTGGTAAGATAATATTAAAGTAAACAGAGACTAACACAGTTTATGTCTGCCCAGATGACTGGAGTTGGCATCTGAAACTGCCCACAGATGGCCTGCTGAAAATACCGAGCACCGAAGGCTGTAGGGCGGCTGCAGTGGACGGCTGCTGGTGCTGTGCCACACAAATCTTTCTGGGACATACAGTCAAGTCCAACTTCAAGAGATAACTGATATCCTTTACTAGGCTAGGCCACAAGTGACAGAGAGGAGTCTAGGTCCATAGGGCCGACAGAAAAGGTTATCCACGGACACAGAGTGAAACTCCTTGAAAGCTAATATTAACACAAATAATGGTGTGTGCCACTGTTATTATGCTAAAGAAAATGCCAACAGGTCAGCAGGTGGGGAA